CACCATAGAGGGGCCCAGAGCTCTGGGTGTGCTCAGGCATGTGTGTGCACACAATGCCTTGAGACACTTGAATCTGTCTAGGAGCCGTTTGATGGCTACTCAGCCTCCTGCAGAAAAGATGGGGGCAGAGCTGGAGAGCAGCCTTTCTTGACTGTGGACAGTGAATAAGCAGGAGGACAGTCTACACGGAACAAAGGATTTGTATGGGAGTGTATTAGTTTTCTATTGCTGCTGTAACAAATGACCACACACAACACCACAGATTCACTATCTCAAAATTCCGTAGGTTAGAAGGCCTTACTGGGCTAAAATTAAGGCTGTAGTCCTTTCTGGAGGCTCCAGTGGAGAATCTATTTCCTTGCCTTTTCCAGTTTCTAGAGGCTGCCAACATTCCTTGGCTCATGGCTCCCCTCTTCCATCTTTTTTTTTTTTTTTGTGAGGAAGATCAGCCCTGAGCTAACATCCATGTTAATCCTCCTCTTTTTGCTGAGGAAGACCAGCTCTGAGCTAACATCTATTGCCAATCCTCCTCCTTTTTTTCCCCAAAGCCCCAGTAGATAGTTATATGTCATAGTTGCACATCCTTCTAGCTGCTGTATGTGGGATGCGGCCTCAGCATGGCCGGAGAAATGGTGCGTCTGTGCGCGCCGGGGATCCGAACCCGGGCCGCCAGTAGTGGAGTGCGCGCACTTAACCGCTAAGCCAGCCCTCCCCTCTTCCATCTTCAGAGCCAGCAACATTACATCTTTCTGACCATTCTTCCATAGTCACATCTTCTTCTGACTCTGACATCAGCTGGGAAAGAATCTCCTCTTTCAGGGACTCATGTGATTAGATTGGGTCCATCCAAATGATCTAGGACAATTTCCCCATCTCAAGGTCCATAACCTTAATCACATCTGCAAAGTCCCTTTGGCCATGTATGGTAACATATCCGCAGGTTCTGGGGCATTAGAGTGTGGACATCTTTAGGGAGTCATTATTCTGTGTACTATACACAGAGACTCCAGGAAAATGCCCCTAGAGGGCTGACCACTTGTTCCTGCCCCCACGCCCCTTCCTCAGCTCTGCACTGCCATGTAACAAGTTCTATTACTCGAAGCCTCTAACTCAATTCATGTCAACTGTTCCAAGACAAGATAGGTAATGAAGGGCTTCATGGTTTTCCCAAGAAGACGGACAGCACATCTGCAATGAGGAGAACTAGATGACATCCACATATTATCTTATACTTAAAGCTTTCTTCATTCAAATCTTATTTCCTTGCTTTGGAAATGTAGGATAATAGTTAACATTCCCCCCCACCCCCATGCTTCCCACTTGCCAGGTGGTATTCTAAGCACAACAACTCTGTAAGGTAGAGAACACTGGTATTATTGTTTTACAGATGAGTTAACCAACGTACAGAAAGGTTAAGAAACTTGTTTAAGGCCACACAGCTAGTGAGTGATAGAGCCTGGATTTAACTCAGCCTGTCTGGCTACAGAGCCCACATCTGTAACCACCACACTTGATTGCCTCATTCCTATGTGTCACCAGGAACACAACCCATGATTGGATGTCACCAAGAGTCTACAATTCTTGCTCCTGGCATAGTAAAGAAGGGATCACAACCCCACTCTATTTTGCTAGTGTTTCCTTCAGAATCTTGACCATAGGCAAAGCTTCTGTGTCCATCCTCATTACCAGCTTGGGGGGCCAGAGTTGTTCAGACAATGGATGACACCCATTTTCAGCTGAGAGCTGAGTGCTGTACAGGACTTATCTGCCTCAGAAGAGTGAAAACCTTGCCTGGCCTCTCTCCCCTGAAATTTCCACCTTGGTGCATCAAAATAACTAAGGAAGAGTCTAGTGCAGAACAGGGAGGCATCCCTAATATTGGCAGCTTCAAGTTAGGAAAGCTGCAGGCAGGCGCTGAGTGGGGACGGGTCAACAGGAGTTTCAGCCATTGACTGGCCCAGCTTTGTTGGCTGGGATGTCTCATTGTGCAGGCTCCTTCTGGGCAGCCTTCCCTTGGGAGAGGGCCCCACTCCTGACTACCTGGCTGCCCCTACAGGATAGGTTAGGTGACTGCATATGGTCCCCAAAGTCCTAGGGTGTCCTCCCTTGGAGAACCCACAGCTTAGCCATTTTATTGCGGGGCCCCAAAACGCACTAGCCTCTCTTCCTTGGAAGCCCATCCCTGAAGCCTTGACCTTGCATGCTCCTCCCCCAACCCAGCTCAAACTCCCCTGGCTTTGGGACGCCTCTCCACCTCATTAGTCATTCCCTCACCTGCTCCATCAAGTTGAAACACAGTGTATTGTAGTTATTGATATCCAGAGCTGGTTCCCCAACTAGGTTGTGAGCTGGCCAGGGCAGGAGGCGCGTATTATTCACAGTTGTATCATCGGCACTGAATGGGCCATCACTACATGTTTGCTGAGTGACTAACACGATGAGCATCTTCAGCGCTTCGTGGGGCCCGCTCTCCTCAAGGGAGGTACAGGGGACTCTCCATATGAATCAAGCCCTTGGGTCTGGGGTGGCTTTTTATTTACTTGTTGATTTTTAAGTAAATTCATTGTTTTTAAAAAAATATTTTTGTAATTTAATAATAACATGTGCATTGAAAAATCTTTTTAAAATTCTGAATGTGTGAAGTTAAATGTTAAAAATTCCCCTTCTCTTCCGATTCAATCCCCACAGGCAAACACCAGTTAAAAAAATTCTAACAGCTTTATTGATATATAATTCAGATACCATACAATTCACCCATTTAAAGTGTACAATTCAATGTTTTGTAGTATATTCACAGGGATGTGCAACCATTATCACAATCTAATTTTAGGGCATTTTTGTTTCCCCCAAAAGAAAACTTGGTATCCATTAGTTGTCAATTCCCATCACCTCCCATGCTCCTATCCCAGCCCTAAGCAACCACTAATGTACTTCTTGTCTCTATAGGTTTGTGTATTCTTGGACATTTCATATAAATGGAATCATACAATATATGGTCTTTTGTGTCTGGCTTCTTTCACTGAGCATGTTTTTGAGGGTCATCCATGTTATAGCATGTGTCAGTACTCCATTCCTTTTTATTGCTAAATAGTATTCCATTGTATTAACATGGCACATTTTCTTTATCCAATTATCGGTCACTATCAACAATTTAATACACCTCCTGTATTTGTTCAGATTGCCTGGGTTTGAATCCCTACTGCACAAGTTCCTAGATGAGTGACCTTGGGCAAATCATAATCTCTCCAAGTTCGCCTCAGTTTCCTCAATAGCAAAATTTGAATAACAATGGAATCTATCTCATAGAGTGACACGGATGTACTGTCACAGTAATTAATATTTGTTGAGCACTTACTATGTGCCAGGCATTTATAAGGATTATCTAACAGATTTATAATTTTCAGATTAAGGAATTGAGGTTAGGAAAGGTTAAGTAGTCTCCCAAGGTCAAACAGCCTCTAGGAAAGTGATTGAGGTAAACAGGATCACAGGCTGTCTGACTGCAAAGCCTGCACCATTAACTGTCAATACCATGGAATAACAAAGTGCTTAGCAAGGACCTTGCAAAGAGAATGAGTTTAGTAAATGATAACCAATAGAACACAAAAGTATAAAAAAGCAGAAAAAAATTAGCAATTGATTCATCATCTAAAGACATCTGCCACTGTTAATATTTTGGCATATTTTCCCCCAGGCTTTAAGAAATATTTCAAACAGGGCCTGGCCAGGTGGTGCAAGTGGGTTAAATGCGCACACTTCGCTACGGCAGCCCGGGTTCGTTGGTTGGGATCCTGGCATTCACCGACACACGGCTTGTCAAGTCATGCTGTAGCAGCGTCCCATATAAAGTAGAGGAACATGGGCATGGATGTTAGCCCAGGGCCAGTCTTCCTCAGCAAAAAAAGAGGAGGATTGGCAGATGTTAGCTCAGGGCCTATCTTCCTCACAAAAAAAAAAATAAGAAAGAAATATTTCAAACATACCAAAAAGTCCAGAAGATAATAGGCATCAACCTCCCACCCCTATTGTTTTGAAAAGACAAAATGTAGTAGATTAGGTGGTTCTATCTCCCATACCCTTAGGTTTTTTTTTTTGCCTATGCATTATTTTTTCTTAGATTATTAGGGTCACACCACATCATTTTCTATCATTTAAAAATCCTATCTTGAGCATTTCCCCAGCATACCAAATATGCTACCTGATTTCTCAAGGCTGAATATTATACGGTATGGCTGAAACATGATTTATCAATTCCCCATTCTTCTGCATTTAGGCGCTCTCTGAGGAACAACGTCATTACACATGCGTCGTTCTTCAACCATGTGACAATTCCCTTTGGGTAAAGTCCCAAAAGGCCGGAAGGTCAGAGACCGCGTGCTTGTCGTTCAGGCTTTTTATCCTTTTTTTGCCAAATAGCTCTCAAGAAAGAATGGGAACAGAGAGAAGGGAGGCTGAGATTTTTTCTCACCTTTTAAAACATTTTATTCAATTATAACATACATACAGAAAGGTACACATTAAGTGTACAGCTCACTGAATTTTCAGAAACTGAATTTTCAGAAACTGAACATACCCGCGTACCCAACACCCAGATCATGAAATAGAACATTTCCAGCAGCCTAGAGCCGCCTCCACTCCACCCCACCTCCTCCGTCACTTCTCTCTCAGGGCTGGGATTTTAACGCTGCAAAGGCCTGCTAACCAGATTACGTCTTTGGAAGCTTCATTTATTAATACCCTAATATACGAAATCAACGACACATGAAATAAATTCTGTCTGCAAACGCCTAACAGTCTGAGGCCCGGCTGGGCGAAGGGCACAGACGCCAGCCCGCGAGTAGAGCCCGGCAGCGCGGAGGCCCCCCGCCCCAGGCTCCCGGCGTGCCGCGCGGCGATCCCGGCGTGCACCGCGGCGGTCCCCTCGCCAGGCTCCCGGCGTGCAGCGCGGCGCGCGAAGCCGGCGATTGGGAGCTCGGCGCTGAGAAGTGGCGGTGCGGCGTGGAGCTCGTTCCCTGCTGGCGGTTGGAGGCGACGAGACGGGCTCGACATGGAAGTGTAAGCAGACCGGGGCGCGTTCCCAGCTTTGTCCGACGCTTACAGCTGGGGACGGCTAGAACCCCTGGGAGCCAGAGACGTGGGCTTGGGGCGATCCCTCCTAGGGGCGTGAGGGCAGGGCGCCGGCCCAGTCTGGAAGGATCTGTGGGTCGGGGCGGCGGGGAAGAAAGGGACTCTCGCTCTGCCCCTCTGAACCTTCGGCTCCATTACACCCCCTGTGCTTGGGACACGGGCTGAGTGCTGCTAGGCCCGGCTGCCTTTCATTGTGCTTGCTCCCTCCTTCATTCATTGATTAGCGTTTTCGGGGTCACAGTGGGGAGCCCAGGCCGGTAGCCGAGGGGGGACTTAGAAGGTATAAAGGCCGAGTCCACCCTGGAAGTATCTGGAGGAGAGACGGAGAAGCTTTACCCGGGGCAGTGGGCTCCCGGGGAGCCCTGACTCAGAAGGGGTGGTATCTGAGTTTGATGAGCAGCAGTGAGCCCTGCGAGGGGAGGGGCGGGTTTTGTGGGGAGAAGGCTTGAGCCAGGACTGGGACCGCAGAAACAGCGCTGTGTGTGCGCGTGTGTACGCGTGTGTAGAGGGAGTAAAAGCCGTTCTAACAATTTAACTCCACATCGTCTGTTCCATATTTGCTCATTGTACCGCGTGCCAGTGGAAGTTTTTGCAGCTGCTCTGCATGTGGGTTTTTACGTGGTTGACATGGACTTGTAGGCATACCTATTTTGTGTTCTCTTTGGCACTGATTATTTAATACTCACATTTTGCTTTATGTTCTTTTCCCTCGTGTTTTAATGGTTATGTGTACTGTTTTTTCATACTTTTTAAGAACACAGTATATATATGTAATTGAAATGAAAGCTTCATGAAAAAACACTTACCTTTGCTATAGGCAGTACACTCTGATATTGTCTTTCCTCTTTTATTAAAGATGACTGTTGACCCACTAAATTGATTTTGCACTCCACTAATGGGGTTTAATCTGCAACTTGAAAAACATTTGTTTGTATTACTCTAGCCCAAGCCATCATTAATTTTTCCCTCTTTACTAGAGCATTTCCTGTCAGCATTCAAACCTGCTTTAGTTATCCATCTTAAAAAATCCCTTGTTCCCGCATTCATGCCTGCCTGTTGCTCCATTTCTGCTTTCCATCACAAGAAAACTTCTTAGAAGTGTTGTTTATCCTCTGATTCTCCCAGTCGTTCTGTTGGGCTTTCATCCTCACCAGTCTGCAGAAATCGGGCTTGTGAGGATCGCCTGAATCCTGCATCTTGTCAAATCCAAAAGTTGATTTTCTGGCGCCAACTTTCTTTTGTTGTTGTTGATTGATTGGTTGTTTTATTGATTATAATAAACTTTAAGAGAATACCTTCTAATTTCAAAAATTATATTCCATTGTTTACTGACTTAAATATAATGCTTTTAGTACCACTGCAAGTTGGTTAAAAAACAATATTTTGAGATTACATTTTCCTGTAACTTAATATGTCTTTACATAGAACACTGGCTGGAAACCAGAGCAGAAAATGAACAAGAAAACTAAAGACGTGTTTAAATAACAGAAATACCATCAGTGTTTATTATGGTAGATTATAGAAAGAAGGTTTAATTTTTGTGTATGCAGTTAGGCACTGATGGAGGCATTTAGACACCATTGATTATAAAGTGCATTAAATATAAATTTTGACTCCCTTCAAAGGAACAATTCAGTAAAACCTAAGTTTCTTTCTTGGAATCCATCAGTTCAAGAACATTCGTAGGTGAACACTCGTTAAGTACTAATAACAGTCTTTTATTACTTATACTCCTGCAGCAGTAACAGCAACATATTGAATTTGCATATATCACATTTTATCCAAGGACCTCAAAGTCATTGTATCAAGCAATGAGGTATTGGAAGCTCAAGGTTCCATAGCATATTGTCTGCTTTCTTATGGCATGGGGTGATAGAGTCTCAACAGTGGAACCAAAATAAAAGTTCAAAGAGACAAGCCTAAAGATCTTATGGTTTGTGATTTTTTTGAATTTCCAAATTTGCCACTTGTATCCTACCATACCTACAGCATTGACTATAGGTAAAAATGGTTTTTTTGCTATGAAAATGTTTTTTTTAAAATTTTTATTTAATTTTTATTTTATTCAGGTCATATTGGTTTATAACATTGTGTAATTTCAGGTGTACATTATTATATATCAGTTTCTTTATAGACTGCGTCGTGCTCACCACCAATAGTCTAGTTTTTATCTGTCATCATACATATATGCCCCTTTACTCCTTTCGCCCACCCCTCCACCCGCACTCCCTTCCCCTTTGGTAACCACTGATCTGTTCTCTTTATCCATGTGTTTATTTATCTTCCACATATGAGTGAAATCATGTGATTTTTGTCTTTCTCTGTGTGGTTTATTTCAATTAACGTAGTACGCTCAAGGTCCATCTATGTTGTTGCAAATGGGACGATTTTGTCTTTTTTTACGGCTGGCCTCAACTTTCTTGATCTCTTAGCAGCAATTGATACAGAAGCTCTAGAGACTCTCTTGGCTTTGTGACATGCTCTCCTGGATTTTCTCCTACATCAAAGACTACTTTTCAGTCTCCTTTCCTGGCTCCTCCTTCCTCTCTTGCTTGGCTTCTAAATCTCGTGGCACCTTAGGGCTTGGTCCTGGGACCCTTTCTCTCCACACTCTCTCCCTTGGTCATTTTACCCATCTATCTGCTGATGATTCTCAAAAGTATATTTCTAGCCCTTTTCTCTCATCATCCATCCAGTTGTTTATACCAAAAATCTAGCCCTCTTTCCTCACCCCTAGATCCAGTCCATCAGCCAGTCCTGTCATCTCCACCTTCAGAATATATTTTGAATGTAGTTACTTTTCACCATCTCCACTGCTGACTTTGTAGTCCATCTTCTCTGGTGTGGATTAAGCAATAGCCCTTGGCTTCCATTCCCCACCCCCCTTCTATTCTCCACATAGCAGCCAGAGTGAGCTTAAAATATTAATTAGATCAAGGTACTCCATGTGTAAAACACTTCATTGGCTTTCTGCTGTACTTAGAGGAAATCCATATTCCTTACTGGGCCCTTTAAGATTCCGTATAACCTCACCTACTCACCAGTCTTAACTCTTGCCACTGTCCCCATCCCCCAAACACACACACTTTCCACTGGCAGTCAGGTAGTGTTTGTAACCTTCCAAGCCCTTTCCTACCTCAGGACCTTTGCATTGCTATTCCTTCTGCCTGGTAGACGTTTCTCCCTGTCGTGCACCTCTCTTATCCTTTTGATAGCTCAGGTTGAGTGCCCCTTTTCATGAAGTTGCTTTTCGTTTTCAGTCAATCCAAAATAATCCTCCTTTTTGTCTCTCATTGCACCTTGGTTTACTTTTCCCTTGAGTAATCACAAGTTGTAATAATAGGTATTTGTGTACTTTTTTAGAGCCTTGTCTCCCTCATGGGAGTGAAAGTTACATGAAGGCAGGGATCAGTGTCTTCACCTAGTGCTTAGCACTGCATCTGGCACATAGTAGGCATTCAGCAAATACTTGCTCAATGAAGTAATGTAACAATACTTCATTAATTTAGTGAATATAAATTAATTCACTAGCTTCCTAATTGCTGGGCATATAGACTTTCTGATTTTCCTAATAGTTTGAATAGTTTGAAATAGTTTGAATCAAGAGTTTTTTCTTCTGTAGCAGCCTGTTTACTTCTCCCAAGGGGTCAATCACTTATTGAAACCAATCAAGAATTTTGCAGAGCCAGCCCTGATGGCCTAGTGGTTAAAGTTAAGCGCTCTCACCGCTTTGGCGGCCCAGGTTCATTTCCCGGTCTCGGAACCACACCACCTGTCAGTTGCCATCCTGTAGTGGTGGCTCACATAGAAGAACTAGAAGGACTTACAACTAGGATATACAACCATGCCCTAGGGCTTTGGGGAGGAAAAAAAAAGAGGAAGATTAGCAATAGATGTTAGCTCAGGGCTAATCTTCCTCACAAAAAACAAACAAACAAAAAAACAAAACCACCAAAAACTAGTGCTCCATAGAAAAATAAATAATAATTTTAAAGATTTTATTTATTCAGTTTTTTCCCCCCAAAGCCCCAGTAGATAGTTGTATGTCATAGGTTCACATCCTTCTAGTTGTTGTACGTGGGACTCGGCCTCGCGTTGGACGGAGAAGTGGTGCCTCGGGGCGCTCCCGGGATCCGAACCCGGGCCGCCAGCATCAGAGCGCACGCACTTAACCGCTAAGCCACGGAGCCGGCCCATAAATAATAATTTTAAAAAAAGAATTTGTCAGCCAGCAGTTTATGGGAAAAGGAGGTTTTCTGAGGTAGGCACGTGGTTTGGGAGTGGAAGGGCCCCTGAAATGGAAAGGTCCAAGGCCTAACTTCTTTTTTTGTGTGTGTGAGGAAGATCCCCTGAACTAGCATCCATGCCCATCCTCCTCTTTTTGCTGAGGAAGACTGGCCCTGAGCTAACATCCGTGCCCATCTTCCTCCACTATGTGGGACACCACCACAGCATGGCCTGACAAGCGGTGTGTCGGTGCATGTCCAGGATCCGAACCTGGGCCACCAGCAGTGGAGTGTGCGCACTTAACTGCTATGCTGTGGGGCCGGCCCAGGCCTAACTTCTAGTTCCCGCCTGGCCTCCAGCATGAGTGGTGACTTCTCTGGCAGTGTGGTGCTTAGGATTTTTATCAGAATCCTGAGTCTTTGCGAGGGCAAATATATTGTACCTCCATCAGGCACTCCTAGGACCTGGAGTGACGAGGATTGGATGGAAAATTCCCCTGAGTTTTCACTACGTTTTCTTCAATCACTGAGTAAATACCTACTGAATGAATACTACATATAGACATACACTAGAGATTTTTTAAAGGTGAGGAATATTTATGCTTTATTTGGTTGGATGATAGAACTTAAAAACTTTTTGACCATCATTTGGGAACTTATTTTCCTCAGGTAAAAGGATACAAAATATTCATAGCAAAATTAAATATTTCTATATATAAGGTATTTGCTATTTGGCTAACTTTGTCTAATGCCTTGGGATTATTTATATTTCTAGAAAGCTTTGTGTTCACTCTTTTATTTTTTTTGTGTGTGTGTGAGGAAGACTGGCCCTGAGCTAACATCTGTTGCCAAACTTCCTCTTTTTTGCTTGAGGAAGATTGTCCCTGAGCTAACATCTGTGGCACTCTTCCTCTATTTTGTATGTGGGATGCCGCCACAGCATGACTTGATGAGCGGTGTGTATGTCTGTGCCTGGGATCCGAACCCACGAACCCTGGGCTGCTGAAGCAGAGCTTGCAAACTTAACTACTATGCCACCAGGCTGGCTCCCACTCTTTTATTCTTGAACTTAATATACATCGTTAGCGAAAATGAACTCTATTTATCTTCTGTATCATCTTTTTGAGCTAGGGTCAGAATTTCCTTCATTTTACAGCTGGAAATACTGAGATTTAGAGAAGTTAGCTAATAGGTCTTCCAACAATTCAGTAACAGGACTAGAAAGAGAATACTTGCTTACTCTCTCCCAAGAGAAGGCTGTAGGTTAAATTGTTTGTTGACTTTGAAAGCTACTCAGTTTTCTTGTACCAGAGTTTAGTTTTTCAGAACATGACTTGAATCAATAACAGGTTGAACATAGAAGAATTTGAGCAATCCTGTCCGTTAGTGCATTCGTAAGAGTTAACTGTGTGGCAATTAGTAGACACTGTTTGCATGGGCTTTTTTGTGTATGTGTGTACTTCTAAGGAAAGTCTGTCAATAGATCATTTTGTTCTGTTTATTCAGAATTCAGTTTTCCAAAGTAGTTGCTTACATCCATTAAGTTGACTTAGCAAGTTAAGCAAATTTTACAGATTAAATTTCAAATAGCAAGTCAACTTCAGTCAACTAATTCATTGCTTAAGGAAATTAGGTGATTACCTGCCTATAAGTAGATTCAGGCAGTCTTTAAAATTCACTTGATATACTTGCTTTAAACACCTGTAAATAAAATCAGTACTATTCGAAGTCCTTCAGGAGAATGTGCAGTTTTGTGTAGGTAGGCAGTTTCTAGAAGTCTGAATGCTTGTGAGTATATTACGTAATACTAAAGTGTTAGCTGTAGAGCAGACAGTTCCTGCTCAGTAGCTATCAACAGCTTGTAAATATATAATTGACAGATGTGTCAACTGACGGATTCTAGTAACCGTAAAAAAAATTGGAAGAAAATGCATCTTATGTCCTCAAATGTTAAATGTCTTTTTTTTTAACTTTATGGAATTCTTTAGTTTTACATTTCCATTTTTCTCAACTTTTTAGCTTGAAAAATTTCAAACCCATGGAACAGTTGCAAAAAGAACACCACAAGTACCTTTATACCCTTTACCTAGAGTCACTATTTGTTAACATTTTGATGTATTTGCCTTATCTGTTTTACATGTGTGCGTGTTCTCTCTCCACACACACACACACAGACAGACACACACACACTCTTCACTGAACCATTTGAGAGTTGTAGATATCATGTCATTTACCCAATCCTAAAAACTCATTCTCTTATATAACTATATCACACCCAGGGAATTTAGTGCTGATATAACCACTATTATTAAAATACAACTTACATTCAAATTTCCCCAGTTGTCCCAATAATGTCATTCTAGCTAGATTTTTCTTTTCCTGATTGGGGATCTAGTCAAGAATCACACATTGGGGCCAGCCCCGTGGCGTAGCGGTTAAGTGCGCGCGCTCCACTGCTGGCAGCCCCTGTTTGGATCCTGGGCGCGCACCGACGCACCATTTGTCAAGCCATGCTGTGGTGGCGTCCCATATAAAGTAGAGGAAGATAGGCACAGATGTTAGCCCAGGGCCAGTCTTCCTCAACAAAAAGAGGAGGATTGGCATGGATGTTAGCTCAGGGCTGATTTTCCTCACACACAAAAAAAAGAATCACACGTTGTGTTTAGTTGTCATGTTTCTTTAAATCTCTTTTACTCTAGGAACAGTTTCCTAGCCTCTTTTTGTGACGTTGGCATTGTAACAAATAACATTGATATTTGAAGAATCTAGACTGGTTGTTATGAAGTATGTTTCTCAATTTGGATTTGTCTGATTATGTCCTCATGACTAGCTTCCAATTAAACATTTTTTGACAGGATTGCTGTAAGGGATGTGTCTTTCTCAGTGCATCACGTCATTATTGGTGCTGTTAAATTGGGTAACTTGATTAAGTTTGATGTCTGTCAGATCTCGCCATATCCTGTTCCCAACGACCTGCCACTTAGTGGTGGTTACAGTAAGTTCTTCAGGATAAAAACTGCCTTTAAAAAAAAAAAATTTCCCAATACGCAGTTCATTTAGGACTTCGTAAAAGGTGGATACTATACTCATTGACATTTTACTGGGTAAAGGAAGGCCTAGCATATATTGGCATTTACTCCATTAGTATTTGGCTGGGTAATAGAAATTATTTATCTTCCTAATAAAAGAATCAGTGAATAAATCAGCTTCTGCCAGTCAGAGTCTGCAAGATGCAGTACCTGTTTAAACATCCATTGTTCTCCTGGTCACAAAACAGGTTCATTAAAATACCCATGAAAGAGAGTTTCCCTTCTTTTTTGTATATTGAGTCTAGAAAAGGCAGATGATGTTCTTTGGATTCTTGCATTAAGAATATTGGCTTGGGCAGTGGGGCAATAACTTGGAAGAGCCAAGGACAGATTTCCCAGGGCATGGAATATTCTGCATGACAGAGGAGGGAGGATGATTTGGAAATGAACTTGTAGCAATGGCGCCTGGGATGGCTCCATTGGTCTTGAGGAAAAATAACATTTGTATTTTTCCTTAGTCTGTTTCAGGAAGAGATGTCTTTGTTGCCTTGTGTTTTAGGGCACACAGGGAGTGGTAACTCAGTGTCAAGCAAAGACAGGAGGAAGCCTTGTAGGCTGACTTCCTGATTAAGAAGGCAAAGATGACGTGTGGTTTGATTTGTCATTTTCAATTTTAAATGAACCATATCACATACACTAATTATGCATTATCCTTCCTGTGTTAGGTTGCTTTTAAACGTGATATCCTTTGTGACCTGAGTGCAGCTGTGGTCATTTGGGCAAAGCAGCACTTTTGTGAAATCCTAGCTGTTTGTTGAATAACTAGTAGCATTTGGCAAGCTTCACATGATGATTTGATTGCAGTGCTGACGTCACTGTGCTGATGACCTAGGGCCTAGGTCGGATCCTTGTGTTAACCACCTGCTAGTTTTGCTTTATTTATTGACTGGGGAAATCATCCATCTATTTGGCCCATGTTTTTGAAATTTTGTGTTAGCATTTTCATTATATAGCCCTACTTCTGGTCTAAGAACATACAGTAGTCTTTGTTGTACATTATGTCAAGTCCAAACTTCTGCCTGAATTTTTAGGATTCTGCATTACCAGTTTCCACTTGTCCAATCCAATCTCATTTTTCACAATTCCATAGTTATCTTCCACTTCAGTTAGGCTTCTTACTGTGTGATCTAAAGCAAGTTTTTTTAATCTCTGAGCTTCAGTTTCATCATCTATAAAGAAGGAATCATAATAGCTCCTATATTACAGTGTTTTTAATAAGAATTAAGAGAGACGATATCTTTTAAAAATAATAGCCTCTATTTAGGGAAATCTTAATAAGTACCAAGAACTGTGCTACACTTTTAAAATGTGTTGTCTCATTTCATCCTCATAACAGTTTTATGAGGTAGGAAGAGGTTGTGGTGGTGGTAGTAGCACAGGTGGTGGTGATAATAGATGGCATTTATTGAGCACTTACTGTGTTCCAGGTACTTGACATGTTTAGTTTAATCCTGTAAACAATCTTACAAGGTGGGTACTGTAATTGCCATTTTATAGAGAACGAAATGTAAGCATAGAGACATTAAATAACTTGCCCAAATTCACATAACTAATGTACGTACGGTGGAGCTGGGCTTAGAATCCAGGCTACACTTCTAGGTACTAGTTTAGCCCCATTTTTTGTTTTAGATGGGGAAGCTTGTGGGGAGGGCGGGTAATTAACTCACTAAAACTCACATACCTTGTAAGTGGCAGAGCTGGAATATGAACCCAGATTTGTCTGATTTCAAAACTGTGTTCTTAATTACTACGCTATACTGCCTCCAGACTACTAAAAACAATAGATCCTTTCTGATGTGATATTGTAGAATGGATCAAAAGTCACATTACTGTACTCATTCATAGATGAAAGATGACGTTTTGCCTTGATCGGCTTTTACATAGGGTACCAGGCTTTTGAGCACTGCTTGACACATGAACTCTCCCTGTTGAATTGATATAGAAGATGAACACCTTTGTTGTTTGGTGGATATCTGGCAGGATTCCTGACGTTGCTATAATTCCCAGTGATGATGTTAGTGTTAAGGATCCCATTTCTGGTGATTTAGCAGGCAGACTTGGCTGTCCATGTCAGTAGCTAGTGGGAGGCAGATGGTGCTGGGGAGAGGACATGGTGGTGGAATGAGACCACTCTGTTTCTCCAGTTAATTCTAGCACCCTCACTCTGTTTATTGACATCCCCCATCCCCTGTGGTTTTGCCCCAGTGATGTCTGACTTCTCTTAACTTCTGTCTTCATAGATTACTGATAAGTATAGTATTTTAATCACCTATCTGATGATGGATGTGTGATATGCAATGGCTGTAAAAAGGAAAGTTTCCTCTGAAATCGTCCATTGCCAGCTAAACCAGTAAGACTTAGGACATTTCTCAGTTTTAGGTTGTAGTCCCTAAATTCCTGAACTGGATTACTGAATCTTGACAGAGGAATTATTTTACAGATATTTAATTCACTCAAAGGGATGTGGGCTCACACTAATGATAATTTGCTTTTCTTTTGCAGGAAGGATGCCAATTCTGCACTGCTCAGTAACTACGAGGTAGATAGCTGTGAAGTGGACTATTGTCTTTTCCTCTCTGATAGTTTGCCCTTTGCTTCTGAAGATTATTGAATTAGTTTTGGTTACAAGTGACTGAATTCGTTTGGATTTTCCACTTTAAAATAGGACAGATGGCACCATCTGGTGGACCTTGGAATATTCTGTGCTTGGTAAATCATACACAAGAATTCAGGGAAGCTGAAAAACTTTAATTTACAGTAGGCAGCCTTCCCCAAATCCCAAAGATTTTAGATCTTCATTTGGGATGCCTTCATGAGATGGAAGCATCTATTTTGGAACTGTTTCTCTCTGCAAAAGTTTTCTATTAAAGTACTTATGCCTTTTTCTAATTACCATTCTTTACCTATAAAATGCTTTTATATTTATTTTGATCCTCATAATAGTCTTATAAGTATTAACACTTTCATTTTGAAAATGAGAGGTTAGTTGACTCACTATTATGAATAATTTAGTAGGAACTAACAGATTTGGAATTTTGGGGCTTGAGGGTTAGGTTGCTGGGGAAAGGGAGGAAAGAAGGAAAGAGGTTAGTGAGAGGGGAGCTATAACATTATTTTTGCCTACCTTTTAAATTGCCTGGATCCTGTTTGGTACTAGCGAAACCATCTGATAGGTTAACTCCAGGTGTAGAGAGAACCATTCATACATTCACTGTTGTCTTTTCATATGCCAAAGTCTAAACTCATGAAGACTTATAGGAGATTTGGGTCTCCACTGTGTGATGTATATAGAAGGTAGTGGAATTAACATAGTTAGCTATATTCGTTTGTTCCTGAAGGTTCATCTTAAGTGGTTGCTGCCCATAACAGGAAAGAAATAGTTGCTGGTCAAGCCATTGGCTTTTAGGAACCTCTTTGTCTAGTTCGGAATCTGCTAGGTGTTTGCGTGTTATGTCCACTGGGGAAACGTTGCATTAATTGGGTCTCATGCCACTATTTCTGAAAGAAATGACAGGCAGAGGAGGGGTTGCATTGTGTCTAGTAAGGTCTATGAGGCTATTCTTCCCTCAATTCTCTGGTATAATCTCTAAAACAGGAAAGAGCTATCCTCCCCATTCTTCCTTAGTACTACTACACGTAAGTGTCTCCTTTGTGGGGAAAATTTACTTCTAAAGTTCTACAGCATTCTTTCCCTTTTTTTTGTGAACCATATTTTATCACTTGCCTCTTAATTTCTCTTTTCCAGAAATAAATTATACTATATTTTCATATTAGAGAAGCAGAATCCTTTTTTAAAAAAAAATATTTATTTTAGGAAAATTTACTTTCAGAAACTCAGTGTATTACTTTTGAGATCAGAGGAGATCAGCAATATTGTGTATATTGATAGGAAACATTTGAAATATTTTTTTTTTTTTTTTTTTTGTGAGGGAGATCAGCCCTGAGCTAACATCCGCACTAATCCTCCTCTCTTTGCTGAGGAAGACTGGCTCTGAGCTAACATCTATTGCCAATCCTCCTCCTTCCCACCCCCCCAAAGCCCCAGTAGATAGTTGTATGTCATAGTTGCACATCCTTCTAGTTGCTGTATGTGGGACGCAGCCTCAGCATGGCCGGAGAAGCGGTGCGTCGGTGTGCACCCGGGATCCGAACCCGGGCCGCCAGTAGCGGAGCGCGCGCACTTAACCACTAAGCCACCGGGCTGGCCCATGAAATATTTTAAGTAAACTAATGAATTTGGATTATTTGACTTAGATAAAAGAGCATTTTAAAAATATCAGATGCATCTCACGCTCATATTTGCTCTAATTCAAGAGTTAGGGAGAGGGTTTGTGGGAAGAATAGAAATACTATTTTTCCTTCAAAATCATTGACCTTGGCATAGATATATTTCTCAAATTTATTTATAAAAGTGCTTTGTATATCTCTTCCTAGGTGTTCCAGTTGCTGACTGATCTGAAAGAGCAACGTAAAGAAAGTGGAAAGAATAAACACAGTTCTGGGCAACAGAACTTGAATACTATTACCTATGAAGTAAGCCTAGGCTTCTGGAGGGTTTACCTGAACTACCCTTGAGGGGGGTTGGTTTATTCTGCTGATGACTGGCCATCGAATCAAGATTGCCTGTTATCTGATTTGAATATTTTTACTATAACCCAGTTTTTATTCTGTTTATAAAAGTGGAAAGCGTTCGGTCAACCACGAGGATCAGCCAACTACAAAATTAATAGTTGTTAACACCACTTGCAAGTCAGGGATCCCCAAGACCACCCTCAGGTTCAATAATGCACTAGAAGTACTCACAGAACTCACTGAAAGCTATTATATTCACATTTATGGTTTATTACAAGGGAAGGATACAGATTAAAATTGGCAAGAGAAGAGTCAAATACAGCAGATTCCAGGAGAAATACCAGAGGCAGAGCTTCCATTGTCCTCTTAATGTGGAGTCAGGACACAGTTCTCTCTCAAAATTGTTGTGTGACAATATGTGTAGAATATTGCCAGCCAGGGAAGCTCAGATGAGCTTCGGTGTCCAGAGTTTTTATTGGGGCTCCATTACATAGGCATGATTGAATGAGTGATCACCCGTGTAGTTCATCTCAGCCTCCAGGTCAGCTGATACAGTATAACCCAAAGCCCCTACCCTAAGTCACATTGTTAAGACTATCCAGTATGATTTAAGGTCCCAGAAAAAGATACTCCTATTAGATATAACATTCTAAAAGTCTGGAGATTACCTCCCAGAAACTGAGGGCAAAGGCCACACCTTCTTTTTGGGCAAAGCCAAATTATTCATTATACAAAAAGTGATACTTTTTATTGTAAAAAACTTAGAAAGTACCAAAAAGCGTAAAGAAGAAAGCAAATTCATGCAAATTTATGAAAGTAATTCATAATGTTGGTATCTAGTTGACATTTTGCTGCATTCTCTCCCAACCTTATGCTTTGTCCTAAAAGAGGAAAATTTAAGCCATTATATGTCATGTATGATTTTGTATCTGTCATTTTAATTTATATTTTCTTGCTATATTCTTCCAAGTCCAGTTTTGTCTCTAAGAGGATTTGGTTTTAATCATCTTTATCTTTTGAAGATACTATTAAACTTGAATTAACTTATCATAATCCCTTTTAAGGAAAATGAGAGGTTTAGCTTTTTGTCACCATTCCTCCCCATCCAAGTCTGTTCATGTAATCATGTGTTTAAAACTCTATCATTCGTTTATTCATTCATGTTCTTTTACATTATATAGTTCATCTCTTTCAAAGAAGAAAAAAACATTTGTTGGTAATTAGTTTTATAACCAAATTTCAAACTGTCAAGTGCTTTTAACTACACAATCAGTTTAAGCTCACTGCCAGTCCTTAAGTTCTTGCTTTCAATTCATAGTGCCTTAAGGAGAGTTATTGTGGTGGTAAATGTTTTGAGACTTTTTATTTTACTTTTTTGTGAGGAGATCAGCCATGTGCTAACATCTCCCAATCCTCCTCTTTTTGCTGAGGAAGACTGGCCTTGGGCCAACATCCATGCCTATCTTCCTCTACTTTATATAGGATGCCGCCACAGCGTGGCTTGCTAAGCAGTGTGACGGTGCGCACCTGGGATCCGAACCTGCAAACCCCGGGCTGCTGCAGCGGAATGTGCGCACTTAACCTCTTGCACCACCGGGACGGCCCCTGTGTTGAGACTTTTTATGCCTCAGAATATATTTCTAGTGTGTGTTTTTTATACCTCAGAATATATTTCTAGTGTGTGTGTGTGTTTTTTGTTTTTTGTTTTTTTTTTTGGTGAGGAAGATTGGCCCTAAGCTGCCATCTGTTGCCAATCTTCCTCTTTTTTTTTTTTTCTTTTTTGCTTGAGGAAGATTGGCCCTGAGCTAACATCTGTGCCAGTCTTCCTACACTTTACATGTGGGTTGCCACCACAGCATGGCTTGATGAGTGGTGTAGGTCTGCGCTCAGCATCCGAATCTGTGACCCTGGGCCACAGAAGTGGAGCACGCCAGACTTAACCACTGCGCCACCAGCTGGTCCTGCTAGTGTTCTTAATGTGAATGAGAACTCATCTGAATATGGAGTTCTTGGGTTCAACTTTTATTCTTCAGGGCTCTATAGGCATTACTTGGTCTATTAGTATTTGTTGGTATGGAGGAGTCTGAAGCCAGCCTGATATTTGAATTTTTGAGAGACTCTTTACTTAGATGCTTCAGGCTACTGTTTATTTTTCAGGTTTGAAATTCCTCTCAAATTATGTCTAGGTGGGATTCTCTCTTTTAAAAAAAATAAAAACCTTTTATTTTGAAATAATTTTACTCTTACAAAAGAGTTATAAAAATAGTGCTAAGAGTTCCCGTGTACCCTTTTCCTAGTTTTCCCTAATGTTAACATCTTACCTAACTGGTACAATTATCAAAACTAAGAAATTAACATTGGTACATATTATTAAACTAAACTGAAGATTTTATTTGAATTTCCCCAGTTTTTCCAGTAATGCCCTTTTTCTGTTCAAGGATCCAGTTCAGGACACCATTTTGTATTTAGTTAATATGTATCCTTAATGTCTTCCAATCTGTAATAGGTCCTTAATCTTTCCTTCTCTTCCATGACCTTGAACCTTCTGAAGAGTACTGGTCAGATAGTTTGTAGAATGTCCCTCGATTTTGGTTTGTCTGATGTTTTCTCATGACTAGACTGAAGTTATGGGGCTTTTGGGGAAGAATACCACAGAGATGATGTGCCCTTCTCATTGCATGATATAGGGTACATGATATCAGTGTCTTGTTACTGATGCCATTAACTTTGATCACTTGGTTAAGGTATCTGCCTGGTTTCTCCACTCTAAAGTTACTACTGCTTTTCCATTTCCATATTCTTACAATCATGGTCCTCATAATGACGTTTTGGTCAACTATGGACCGCGTATATGATACTGGTCCCATAAGATTAGTACCATATAGCCTAGGTGTGTAGTAAGCTAAACCATCTAGGTTTGTGTAAGTACACTCTATGATGTTTGCACAGTGACAAAATCACCTAACGATATGTTTCTCAGAATGTATCCCCGTTGTTAAGCGAGCATGACCAGTTAGAAAGGAGTCACCAAGTCCTGCCCACATTCAAGGGGAAGAGGATTAGGGTTCACCTCTTGAAGAGAAGGATATTGAAGAATTTGAGGACATATGTTAAAACCACCATAGTAATTAATCAATATTTTGGGGATGATGCTTTGAGGCTCTGCAAATATCGTACTTCTCCTTAAGCCTTTGCCCATTTTAGCATTCAGTGGTAAGTCATTCCTGCAGTAATTATTACTATGGTGCAATTGCCTAATGGTGATTTATTTCCCTCATTCCTTCTACTTTAATAATTAGAATTCTTCTGTAAGAAAGGGTTGTTCCTTCTCATCCATTTATTTATTTATTCAGTCATTTATATCCATATGGACTCATGGCTAGTTATTTTATTCTTGGGGTTCCCTGTCTTTAAAAAAATTATCTGAAATATGTTAACACAATTGTCAAATTGGATTTTTTCTTGCTTTTTTAAGATCAGAAAAGTTTTCTTCTAAAATTTCATTATTTTTCCTGTTTTAGCTATTGGTTTTCTTTTTGAGGAACTCGTATTATATGAAGATTGATTCTCCTGAAGGCATTTGTTTTATAGAAGATTTTTGAAACAAATTTTTAGAATATTAAATTATAGCCATTGCCTTCTCTTTTTCTCATTCAGTATTCTTTATCTTATGTTTGCTTTTTTCTTTTTTTTTTTGTAGACATTAAAATACATATCAAAAACACCATGCAGGCACCAGAGTCCTGAGATTGTTAGAGAATTTCTCACAGCAATGAAAAGCCACAAATTGACCAAGTAAGTAAAAATTATCTTAAGTAGGAAAAGAATGACACATAATGAAAATGATAGCTTATAAAAGCCATCCTCAGCAACTCTGTATTTATCTTTAGTTAGAGTTTGAATTATAGTTAACACACAATGCTCTTTTAAAGTAGGATCATGATATTGTAGATGAGACAGTTGAGACTTAGACATAGGGATCCTTCTAGAGCCAGGAACAGAACTTAGTGGGTTTTTTAAATCTCAAAATATTTTTTTGAGTCCCAGTTCTATGACCTGTCCCATCACCCCCTTGCAGCATTCAGACCAAATTAGTTGAAAAATGAGGTTCACAAATTAAAGTGCTTTTTATAAAGTTGATCACTTAAGTCATTTGACATTTGTGTTTGCTTGGGGCAAAAATGGCTTGATAATATTCTATCTGCTCTTCTAGTGCCTGATGACTTTCTTGAATAAGTTAAGCTTGTAGAATTAAAAACATCATTGAGAATTAGATCAGGAGTTTACATAAGAAGAAAACTAGCCCTGGTCTTTTAGAATTAATTCCAGAGCTGATAAATCCCAAAAGCTTTTGTCATTTCATTCAGGATAATCAATAATTTTCTTTTTTTTTTTTTTATTTATTTTTCCCCCAAAGCCCCAGTAGATAGTTGTATGTCATAGCTGCACATCCTCCCAGTTGCTGCATGTGGGACACAGCCCCAGCATGGC